AGTGCTGCAGGCTTATTGGCTAACTGACGCTGATGAGATTAACCCCTTAGGTATCGAAATTTGGTACCGAACGACGAGACGTTTTTCGATACTCGATGGTATCGAGGCAATTCGGTCGGTGCCTAAAAAGTATTGAACTCGATACCCAGCTCTATGTAGCGGCTTGTTCCCTTTTGGGACAAGTGGTTTTAATGTAATTGTTTTGTATATTTGTGTGGTGACCGTGGGCAGAGCAGTTGTCTCTGGAGCATATCTGTGGTATGAGTGAGTCACCAGTTAGTAAGTGCATTAATACCCCTCACTGGTAACCACAAGAAGATTAGGGATCAGTTTTTTTTTTTTTCTAGGTAGGGAAAGGGAACTTGTTTCTCCTGTTGGGGTTTGTAAATCACACCTTCTATTTTATGATGCGTATTTAAAGTGGAAGTATGTGAAATCCAGTAGAAGATTTGATTGGTTCCCCTTCTGAAGCTTTGCTTGACTCATGTACAAAAGATCAGTTACTTAAAATTGCAGATCCATTAATTGAAATTGAAGGCAAGTGATTAAAGGATACAGTTAGAGAACAACATGTTGATTGAAAAGCAAGATGTAGCTGTTGCTGAACCATTAAAACCATCTGCTCCTTAACCTTTGAACAACAGGAAAGGTTATCATTGATACAGCTTGAACAGGAGTGGGTGAAATTAGAGGTAGAGCGTGAAAAAAACTAGAAATTAGCAATTTTGAGCTTCAGAAATATCGTTTTGAGTTAAGGAGAGAAAGTGAAGTAAGTAACGGCTCAGCTAATGCTTTGCAGGGGGCTTGTGAAATGTTTGGCACTGCTGGAAATTTAAGACTAGCGCCCAAGTTTAACAATAGAGAGATCTGATACATTTTTTTACATTGTTTGAGCGGGTAGCAGAAGCAAGAGGCTGGCCTAGTAAGGAGATCAAGAATTATGGCTCAAGATTATGCTACCGTTAAAGCAGCCGTCTTAAAGGCGTATGAGCTAGTACCGGAAGCATACCGACAAACATTTAGAACAATGTCCAAGGGTTTTGATCAAGCTCATGTCGAGTTTGTTAGAGAGCTTACTACTGCGTTTAATCGCTGGTGCTATTATTTAGTGGAGCTTTTCCATATATTCCATGCATTACCGTTAGAGATTAAAACGTCACGTTTGAATTTGGTTTACCAATCAAATGCATTTATTCTATATTTTTACTTTTGAATGACCCGTGCACCACGTATCAATCCACATTCACCTCTCTTAACTTCGTTCTGGCATAATCTGGAAATGGTCATGCAAAGAACAATCTTCGATAAGTAAAAATGTCAACTATTCTAAAAAATGTGAGAGAGGGGTTATTCTAAAAACAAATGAGGAGAGAGGGGAAAACATGAGTTAGAGAGTCCGTGAAATCCCCAGCTATCAGGTTATTTTACTAAAGCTGATGATGGAGTAGTTGTGAAACAGCAAGTGGACCGGGCACATGGAGCAGATAAAATTACAGCGTCATCGTCCCCACAGATTTTAGGTTAGTTTGATTAACAAGTAAACAACTTGATGGATGTATATTGCTTTTTGTGTTTGAACAAAGTATATTCGCTTATGGGTTAATAAACCGATAAATATACCGATAAACTATCGGTATATATCAATTGTTTTGCGCGGCATGATGTAGGTTAAGCTTTTCATTTAAACGCATTTTAAGCATTATGGTTTAAAAACAAATGTATCTTTTCAGGGACATTAAGCAGTGGGGCAGAATTAATTTTGGCAAATGCACGCATTAAGACGGTCACGGCCTGCTCTACAGCGCCAGTCTAAACTTGAGTTATTTTTCGCGCCTTGTGCTTAAACGTTCAAATGCACAGTTATGTGTCAAAATGTCTCCTCGTCAACACAGTCATTTGTGTCTTAAACGATCGTTAATAGTTAAATATAAAGCATGTGTAGTAGTAGGCTATATGAGATCCTAATATGATGAGATTTTAAAGGGA